GACACATTTTAAGGGAAAATAACCATCGCGAACGCTGACACGAGAGATGCTAATAACTCTGAGTTGGTTCTCCTTTGCATTCCTTTCGTTTTACTGGGATTTATGTGTGAACTCCCGAAATTTCCTTTTCTCCCCTCATTCTTTTATACCAGCAATCTGGTTGTCTATTTTCCAGTTCAAGTCAGAAGTGGAAACATAAAAGTTGTTCTTACCGTCAAGAGGTTAGTAATCAGCCATTCCACATGCTACATAGCTCCAATTAACCAAGTGGCTTCACCAAGTACTTTCCCGTGCTGGTCCGGTATAGACACTTTGATGATGTTTATTAATTGGAAGAGAAATGAAGTTTAACTCTTCATGTACAGATTGGAAACATTCGAAGTGAAGCAGAAAGCAAAGCTGAAAGTTAAGCCAAGCAGATTTACAGAAGCACATATCACAACTTTTCTTATCTAATCAATTCATCTTGGCGTATAAAGTCTATTAGATTTACTCCTTAATTATTTTGAAGAATTTTGGCATTTCCTTAATGTGGCTCGTAGAGGAGAATAAAAAAGGAACTATTTGTTGAAAACATAATAAAATAAATAAAACTGTATCATCTCTAGCAGCTTAAGCTTTTAGATGAGATGGGGGTAGTTGTTATTGTTGTTGTATTAAGCAGACGGACCCACCACCCATTATCAAAAAGAATTTTCAGATGCTGGGTCCATAAGAAGAATCAGCCTCCCACATGAGAGAGTGTATTGAAGACATAATTAAGTATAAATAAAAGTGTCTCCTCTCTAACATCTTTTAGATGAGGTGGTCACACTTCTATTACCCAGCGGCAGGTAATGTGGATTGTGTATTTCTTCCATATAGAGCTATATTCTGGGTTCACAAACTCATTTCAATTTGTAAAGAGGAAAACAAAGAACTACATTTTCTCAGCAAGACATTCAATTCTCATACAAATGACATAAATGTGTAGCTCAGAAAAAAAGATCTTAAAGGGATTATTTACAGAATAACAACTATGAGAATCACCAGTAATCATTGCAAGAGCATAAACCTTTATCAAAATGGTGGAACCGATTTGTATCTCTCACTATAATCTTTCTTCTCGCTATTTCTGACACAAACTTCATCCAAGAGTGACAATCCGCACAAATTCGAAGATTTTTTGTCACCCTAATTGGAATACCAGAACCAGTATGAATCAGACCAAATACTGCAGCAAGCCGTTCACTATGCCCACATATCCATGCTGCTTTTGTTTCCTCGTTTACATCATGAAGCACAACTCTCGTATCAGGTTTATACCCCATTTTGTCTATAGCTTCTGATAATTCATCCCATACTTCCTTGTATTCATCTGAATTACGAAATTCAAAACCGCCACCAGCCATAAATTTGTGTACTCTATTTCTAACCTGTATCCAGCTGCATCCGGCTTCCTTTTTGATTCCCCTATTTTCCATCATCTCCCTCACTTTTTTAACTCCCTCCCACATTCCTGCATTTGCATAAATGTTTGATAGTATCACGTAATTTCCACAGTTGTTAGGTTCCATCTCAAATAGCTGCTCTGCCACAAGTTCTGCAAGAGAGACATTTCCGTAAAGTCTGCATGAATTGAGCAGTGAGCCCCAAATGCTTCCACTAGGCTTGACGGGCATTTTCTCCACTACTTGAAGTGCCTCTTTAATTTTCCCAGCTCTACCTAATAAATCCACAAGACAAGCATAATGCTCTGAGGACGGACGAATTCCAAAATCTCCACTCATGCTTTCAAACAATTCCTCGCCTAAGTCCGCCAACCCAGCATGGCTACAGCCAGACAACAAGGTGATAAATGTCACCCCATCCGGCCTAACTCCACTACCGACCATATCATGAAACAACTTCATTGCTTCTTCCATTAAACCATTAATCGCATACCCATTGATAACAGTATTCCACGATGTTATGTCCTTGTACTTCATTTTCTCAAACACTCTTCTGCAATACTCCATAGATCCACATTTCGCATACATATCCAAAAGTGAGTTTAATAAAACAAGATCCGGAACTTTAGTTGATTTAACAATTTGAGAATGTAGCTCTCTCCCATAATAAAGGTAAGTAACTTGAGAACAGACAGCTAAAATTGTAGTAAAAGTCACCCAACTATATCCCACTCCATCTCTTTGCATTCTCCTAAAAGTCTCAAATGCCTCAAAAACCTGTCCTTTCTTAACAAACCCCGCGATCAACGAATTCCAACTTACAACATTTCTCTCAGGCATTTCCTCAAACACCTTCAACACATCTTCAAAACACCCACACTCACTGTACATTCCCAAAATAGCATTGAACACAACTTGATCAGGTTCTTTAACAGCCTTAATAATCTGGGCATGTATACCTCTACCGACCTTCAAATCTGAAAGTCCCGAACAAGCTTTCACAGCCATAGAAAACGCAAAATTCCCCGGTTCAATGGACTTAAACAACATTTGACAATAAATCAACAAAGCTTCCCTAAAAAACCCTTTTTTAGAATACCCAATTGCCATTGCAACCCAAACTGATTCGGGTTGGTCTTCGTTTTCAAGCCCGTGGTGCACGAAAACACGACGAGCCTCATCTAACTGATCACAAACAGAGAAAAGGGTAATTAACTTAGATAAAATTAAAGGGTCATTAAGCAATTTACTTCTGTTTGGATTTAAAAGAAGATGAAGATATAGCCTGTGACCATGTTCTAATGATTTTTGTGAAATGCATGCATGGAGGAGATTCAAATAACATTCTTTGTTTTCGGGTTGAGAATTTTTCTGGGATTCTAATAGGAGAAGAGCATCGTTTAGTTTTCCGGATTTAGTGAGGGATTTGAGATTTGTGTTGAAGGGTTTTGGAGGTGTTTTGTTAAGCTTGTTGAAGCTTGAAGTTGCAGTTATGGTAGTTGTGACAGTTGGTAGAGAAATGGCGGGAATCGCCATTGGTGTCTTGTGAAAAGTTCGTTTACACTATGGTTTGGTTGATAAATATTTGGGATCTTTTCCTTTAAATAATAATTAAAACAGAATTTTTGATAGGGAAGAAAATAATTTTCTCAGGAAATATGTCTTATTTTGGGAAATATCAAATTTTTAGTAGTTAGTTTGGTAAATAGAGTTTATATGGTAACTTTACAAGATATGAGATAAGATATGAAGATAGTGTTTTGACCTATATTTATGTAATTAAATATGGGCAAGAATATGTAAATGTTGATTGCAAGTGATATTGATAAGAATTTGGATATTTATAGGGGAAAAAACTTAGGTCCATAGGTGAAAAGTAATTACTATTTTCTCTGCAGAAGACGACGACGACGACAACAACAATAAAATTCAATCTTATTTCACAAGTAGGGTACGAAAAAGATAGTTACCTTAACCCCAGAGGGGGAGCCACATTGTCGGTTACGGGTTTGAAATACTGGCTATGCCCCTGCTTACCCTTACCTTATGCAAGTAGAGAAGTTGTTTCCGATAGGCCTTCAGCTTTCTTTGCGGGAGAATTTTTCACAATTTTTGGTAGCTCATCAGCAGAAAATTAATGTTTTGAATTGTTGAAGAATTTTTTTATAACTTATTAGCTTTTTCATAAGGAAATACAGCAGATTTGGAATAGATCTGAGGAGGAAAAAGTGTTGTAAAACTGTTCTTTGTTAAATTTGGAAAAGTAATGGACAATTTATTATTTTATACCTATTTTACTCTTCTTATTAAGTATACTATTTATTTCTAATTCATTTTTAAACATATAATAAATAAAAGTAATATGGTCAAATTATTATATTATTTATTATTTAAGGAACGTGTCAAATTAATAATTGACAAGTAAATATGGACGGAGGAAGTAATTTCTAGCTAGGTACTAATTTTTTAGTAGTTAGTTTGGTAAATAACTAAATATCAAGGGGTTTCTCCGTATTTGCAAACTTTCGATTCACTCATGGGATCCGGGCGGGGGGCATCACGGCTTTTCTCGAGAATCCATATATCCCTTATTAGTGTATGAACAACTATCTCTCGAGCACAAATTTCTAAACTGAAATAGGTGTGTACAAACAATTTGGAGACTAAGTTTGAAGTAATAATTACTATCATAAGGTTGAATTGCTAATCAATGATGATTAATTTTTGAGTGAAAATTGACTACACAACTTCATAATCTATAACTAGAATTGTGCATAATTTCACTTAATAATAAATTCAAGAACTGAAATATAGTTTTTATTTTTCTTTTTGAAATTAGTGTCAAGTGAGGACAAACAAAAGCTTCACTTAGATATTACTCCAAATTCATGAGATAAAGAAGGGATTTATATTCTTGTATCTATCAGTATCTATTAAGAGAGGCGGATTAAGGATTTAAACTCTATGAGTTCAACCTTCAATATTTTTAGCATTGAACCCGTTATATTTTTAAAGTTATGGCTTCATATCAATTATTTATATAATTTTATTTTATTTTTGCACATAAATTCTTTTTTTAATTTTATTTTTGCACATAAATTCATATTCCTTGACGAAAGTACAGGGTTCAGTTGAACCCGATACTAAAAAGGCTGGATCCGTCCCTGCTACTAACTGTTGAATAATAATGAAATGAGAATGTCCAAACATTAATTTAAATGCTTTTCCTTTTTTAATTATTTCCAATTCGTCCTAGTAGAATAATTGACAATCCAAAACAAAATTAAAAGTAAAAATTAATTTACTTTAATCTCCATTTTGAAAGAGCCAAAGCTGACAATTTTCTTGAGCAATTAGCCAGTCCTTCTCATGGACTCAAATATCCCTGTCTTCAATATTTTGTTGCGCCCACGCACAATCACCAAACATATCACAATTTGATTCTAATATATGTCATTAATAATTTCATATTTGACTTCTATACTCAAATGATTAAAACAGAGGTGAATTCACAATTTAATGTTTATGAGTTCGTATAACGACTTCAAGTTAGTATGAGACCCTGGACATAAAATATTGAGTTCACGTGAACTCATATATTACATGATCGATATACCTCAGGATTAAATAATTCTAGATTGGTAAATAATAAATTTTGTAAGCATTGCATCCTCTAATTTTGTCCTCGGAGATCTGAAGCCACGCCATATCCTGCCTGATCACCTCTCGCCTAAGAAGTATTGGTGAGAGATGATCAGGCAGTATATGGTGTGGCTTCAGATCTCCGAAGACATGACCCTTGATAGGAAGCTGTGGAGGTCGGGCATTAAGATTGTAGGTTAGGAGGTAGTTGAGCATATTTCTAATTCGTACAAGTGTGAGGCTAGTCTGATAGGATTTTATCATAGTCTGCTAGTGGTCAATGTTGTGTTCACACTACTCTTTCGTTTTTGTAGTGTCGGGCCTTATCTACTGGTTATTATTTTTGCTTTTCATCTATTTCCTGGTTCCTATGATGTTGTCATTATTTCTTTTGTTGATGGTACTGATATATTATCTCTTTTCATCTTCTTGAGTCGAGAGTCTATCGGAAACAATTTCTCTACTCCCTGAGGGAAGGGGTAAGGTCTACGTAACACTAGTATCCCCAGATCTCACTTGTGGAATTTTACAGGATCGTTTATTGTTGTTGCACCCTCTAATTATTTCTTTAACAATTACATAAGGGAAAGAAGGGGACTGAGATAGAGAAATAATTAGAATCGAACTCACGTTACTATGTTAAAACTCTCACCAATTTCCTCTAAATTATAATCCTCGACAATTAAAAATATTTCAGCTGTTCATTTATTAAATCACAGTGTTATCTTTTTAAGTAAAACGCGATCAATGATTGGATCATACAAACTAGAAATGTTTTTTCTTGATTAAAGAAACAGATTACTCGATCTATTTCCGTATCGCTCATGATATTAAAGATAATTATTACGACTAGGAGGGAAGCACAACGTGACTAATAATTATTCATAAATAAATAAAAATCATTGTCTAGTACTCAACATTAATGGTATATAACCTATAGGGTGCAATCAAATTAATTTCCAATACAATATTTTTCAGACACTGTCTTTTTTTTTTTTTTTATAGAATAGGTACTCCTAATTACTTAATTATATTCACTACCCGTGGAAAAATAATAATTAAGAACGTGTATTATATAATATGATATATTAAGGGGGAAAAAGAGAACTTTAAGATGCATGTAAATAAATAAATGAATATAACTATGAATTTTTGGGGGAAAAATAGTAGTACTAATTTTCTTGCTCATATAGTCAATGGATCTGGACATAATTTATTTATAGTAGTAAGTATACTTACTTATTTTGTTAAGATTATTTAGTAGCGCAATTATTTACTTGTTTAATCACCCCATAAGCCATAAGTTCCATTATTAGTTTGGTTACAAAAAATCCCACCTTAACAACTTTTCAAATTTCATAATAATTCACATTTAAAAAAAAAATCGAGTGGGATCAAAAAAACTAATGGACTGCTCCTAAATAGATATAATACAGTCAGACCTCTCTATAACAACATCCGTATATAACAACACTTCACTATAAAAGCCAAGTTTTTTTTCGGAAACAATTTTCATGTTATGTTGTACTATATGTTCTCTATAACAGCACTTCGCTGTAGGCGCAAATTCTGATGTCACCACAAAAAACTTATTTCGTTCGCTTCTTTAATATACCGAAAATTAAAAAATAATAAATACGAACGACGGAACAAACAACAAATTAAAACTTTATGACTGAATATCGGAAAGTGCCCTTTTCTTCCCATGGATCTTCTCCTCTTTTCATCTCAATTTTCTGAATTAATATATTACATGACTTAAACTTAAATTATATATAAAGTAATATGATTTTTTGAAATAGTTTTCTAAAGTAAGCTGGTCATCAATTGTGACACTTACCAAGGGAAGGAAGACATAATAAGGTAGTAATAAAAGTGAACTCTTAATTTTATCTTATGTGAAGTATCATGAAAATCAAATTACTTAATTTTTTGAAGTAAATTTAGATATAAATTATTTATACTTTTGAAATAAATTTTATATGTTTTGGATATTATATCATAAGTAATAATTAACAATTAAAAATATTTTAAAAAATATAATATCACATAGAGTAAAATAATGCGAGTGTAATTTTTGGATTCTGATTCCCCGACCAAGAAATTATTATTTATTAACACATAACAGCAAGTACACTAATAATATTGAGCATTTTAAGTGGCACAATTATTTGTTTAATTAATCACACCATTAATTAGGAGAAAAAATAATCACCCATCATTAGTTTTATTATTTAAAAAGGCAGAATAGCCTAAATGGCACCTGTACTTCGCCCACTTTGTCATGCCGGTCCCCAAAGTTAGACATTTGTCAACTGAACACTTATACACATTCAAAACGTGAATAATAAACGCTTATCCAACGTGGCTTATCCTATGTGTCATATGTAGCTTCAGTGCGTGATTCACACGCTTGTAAGGGGCGTGAAGATATTTAAAAAAGCCCTAAAGGTAATAAATTAGCCTATTTAACAACCATCTTCTTCTTTCTACCTTATTCTCCATTGTTGAACAATATAGAAGCTAAATTTAGCAAATCCGATGCCTTCTTCTTTGTTTGTTAGCTTCAACAGTGAAAAAATAGAATTTTATTTTCCTGTGATTCTTCGTTGCCCATCAATTTTTGCCATCTCCTTTTGTTTTAAAAGTCGATTTTTTCTGCTTCTCCTCCAACAAATAAGCTACTGCCGCCATTCCAATTCAAACCTCCATTAGAAAATTGTCGCAGCTATAATGTGCAAAGTTTCCAGATCTAGGTAATATCTAACAACATCCCGAATCAATTTTAAGCTCACATATCCTCATTAATACACTTAAGCACTGGTGATAATAATCTGCAGGGATTAATCCCCGCTACAATTGGTTCAATTTCTAGTTTACAAGTAATTTCGCTGTTGCGAAATCAACTATCTGGGGTGGTCCCTGCAT